CTCCGGATTGCCCTGTTCCTGTTATCAAATTCAATGAAGGTCCTTGACATTAAAAATATGTCGCTGAATGTACTGTATTTTATTTATGTATAGTTGAATAAAGTAACGGAGCTAATGTCGGTGAAATTTCTCAAAACTTTTAAATCGGAATTTGTACAACATTTCTCTGAATAAATTAAATGTTCTGTTTTTACTTGAAATAAGTGTGGCTATATTGTGTTATTTTTAGTTTGTGGCGGTATTTTTATCCCGGAAAACCATTGGCGTCGCACAACATGTGACGGGGAATTCGATAATTAACTAAATAAGGACTTTTACCAAATCGCACTTTCTTTTCTACAATTGCCTCATTAAAAATCGCACAAATTATTTTACTCTCCTGCAACTTATCGACACTTATTTATGTAATAAGCGTGAATTTTTCATTTAGTGGCGTTTCTTGCGTCAGCATATTGTATTATCATTACCAAACCCAGTTATGTAAAATATTAGGGTTTGAACATCGTCGCTTATTATTTTATTATCAGTCGTTACATCCACTTTCCATGTGATTCCTGCTTATCAGCGATGATTAAAATTCGGATTTCTGTATCGCCCCATTGATTTTTTTTGAGACTAAAGTTCAAACTTCACAGCATCTTGATTAATATTGTGTTTTCGTTGAATTAAAATTGATTGGTGGTCTTAAATGGTATCTGACGCATTGATTGTTAAATATATTTATGTATTTTTCAAAGAGGCAAATACACGTAGGTATGTGGTGGACTGTTATTAAAATCCACCCAGATGTGGATTCCACTCCTAGGTATTCTCCATTGTTTCGATTGCAAACACAGGTCTTTATCCCAATCAATTATTAGAAAGTAAACGCGATATACACATATCTTTCCTTTGTAACATTTTTAAGGTCATCGCATTCGAGAATAAATAATAAATTATAGTTTGCTCCTTAACAAGAATAACAATTTACAGTTATTTCGTCATTGGTATAGGTGTCGTATAAATTTTTCCAAATGATTAACGTCCACTTTTGACCAATTTAATTAACAATTGCGCAAATTGCACTGATAAAATTCTGATTAAGGTAACGTTGGCGCCACTGATTCGCACACCCGCCAAAATACAAAGCGACGCCATGTTAGCTATGCCCACTAGACTTACAATTTACATAATATGATAAAGCAAAACTTTGGCTAATAATAGAGATTTATTTTATTGGCACTGGATCATATTTTCTCCTATTTTCAGTTTTTACAACCACGTGTCACTTCCTGTTGCCTGGCTTGGCCTTTAAAGGTCGATATATCGATGTATCATTGAAAACAGGTAGATTTCTACTTTTTCAATGACTCAGTGCCATTCATTCCGTCTTCCAAGAATATTTGGCAGAAAATACTTTCAAGAAAACTTTCTCAACTTGAGCTCTTGTTCATTGATTTTCAGAAATTACGTTTTGCCACTCATTAGGGTGGATCAAATTTCATTCATTTGCCAGGTCAAAGGTCGCATTTATTTACATTATTGATAAAGTTAAAAATAAAACATTGTTTTGGTTCAGTGCGACCCAAAAAATCACTTGTGGCCGTGTGAACCCAACTTTTTATTGCATAATTGATTGTCTTGAGATTTAGGGATAAAAATATTTACTTGCTTTATTATGACGTAAGCTGTTTGTTCTTTTATGGATTTATTACCTTTGTCAAGATTTCATATCGCAACGGTTTAATCTTTCCGTGGAATATAGATAATCAAGTGTTTGTTTTAGCACTTATCAATTAAAAAACGAACCGTAACAATGCGAGATTATCCATTTTGTATGACGTTTCAAGTCGAATTTTTTGGCTAATGAGGGAGTAGTTATTTTCGCATTTTTCTTCACTTTAGAAACGATTACGAATGTCATTAAAATTATTATTGCCAACCACAAATTTGAGGTGTTTTGATGTTAGAATTTTGCATTTTCAGTCACATAACTCGGACCACAACTTGGGAAGACCCTCGAAAGTCTTTGGCTGCCCAAGCCGCAGCCCAGCAACACCAAAGTGCTGAACAACTTCTAAGTTCTCATCAGGTTTCGCAGGCCCAAGCGTCAAATTCCACACCCCGTAAGTAATTTCGATGGTTTTGTCAAATCTGGTACAATTTGATGATAAACACAAATGCAGTTCAAAATAGATAAAAGTAAAAAAGTCTTGGTTGAAAATTTTGAACTTCATTTGCTTAAGCCTGATCCTGATAATTAAATTGGGGAAAATGTTTTCTCTAGCTGCCAAAGTGAGTACAGACGTAGATTTAGGCCCTTTGCCTGAAGGTTGGGAGCAGGCACAAACTCCTGAGGGAGAAATTTATTTCATAAATCATCAAACACGTACTACTTCGTGGTTTGACCCTCGAATTCGTAAGTTAAGCCACAAGATCGAAAACGGGCGCTTTTTCGATCAGTTCATTTTTATTGCAGCCACACATTTGCAACAGAGGTCTCCCGGAACGGCTTCAGTTACTGGACAATCGTGGCCAAGTGGCTCTTTGTCGCAATCATCGCCGGCTAAACAGCAACAGTTTCGACTACAACTGTTGCAATTCGAACGTGACAGACTGAAATTGCGACAGCAAGAAATTCGAATGCAACAGGAACTTATGATGCGAGGGAGTTCCAACGACTTAGCACTAGATCCCTTTCTAAACGACCACTCCAGGCAGGAATCCGCAGACAGCGGCTTAGGTAAACACAAAACACCCAAATTTTCTTCAAAAATTGAAACTTCAACACTCATTTGATCACTAAAATAAATAAATTAGAGTAGGCGACGATTAATATTCTATAGTTGGCAACAATTTTTCCTGGAAATTTTCCACACAAACTGGAAGTGAAAATGACCATTCACACGCAGTTTTCTAATAAATTGCAACAATAAACTCAAAATGTCAGATTTCCGCTGACATTTGAATGTCAAAAATCAGGATTGCCACCTGAAGGACTTTAATCACCGCCTACTCTAATTTATTTTTTGTGTTTTTTTCGGTTCTGAAATTGTTTCAAACTGGTCGAAATTGGCGAGTAGGTTGGTAAACTTATTTCGTTAGGTATGTGGTGAAAAATTTTGTTTTGCTTTGTTTACGCCGATATTTCCAAACGATTATCATTTCATACTGAAAAAGAATGTGAGAAGATTTAAATTTGGCTTGGCGCCATTTTGATGAAGAATTCGGTGTTAACGAGTGTTTTGATCAATAGTGTGTTTTGTTGGTCACGCAATTCTCCCTTTTTCTAAGGGTTATTGACTTTTGCAGGTTTGGGTACAACATATTCGATGCCTCACACGCCTGAGGACTTTTTCGATTGTACAGAAGATTTAGTGCCTTCACTTCAGTTGGGAGAGGAGTTTCCGACTGATTTGGGTGAAGAATTCCCGACTGTCATTTTAGACGATGATGTACAATCGTTAATAAATCCACCGGTTACAAAGCCCGATAATGTGCTCATTTGGTTGTAATAAAGTGCCTACTTAAGTAGCTCATCATCATCAGAATGTTTTATATTGATAGAAATTTAGCGATGTTTTGTAAGACAGAGTTTTGACAGTTGGAATGGATAAGACTGTCTTCTATAACCGTTAATGACATAATTTTTGCAATATATATATACCATTTGAATACGCTTTAAATGGCAATAATAATCAAAACATATTTTTAATGTTATTATAATTTTACATTTATCATTTATCGCATTTGTAATTCTCAAATCAATTACTGTTGGGTATGTTTTTTCATACATATGTATTTTATAGTTTGTAATGTTTAAGTTAGAATTGTAGTGCTTTTGGTGCAGATTGAGATGTTTCGTCAAAAACATTTGACGAAATATATCAAATTATTAAGTACTGAGAATCAAAATTCAATTACATATTTATTTATTGTTGTGTTTTAGAGTTACTTATTTAACAATTTTTATTTATATCATATATGACGTTTTTAACCTCTGTTCCAAATCTAACATTGTGATAATGTTTTCGCAAAATTGAAATTTTAATTGTTAGGAATACTTAATTGTATACCTATTTAATTTTACTTGTTACTGTATGTACAATGCACCCCTGCTCCTCCCAGGACCAGACTTGTTGCATTCAAGTTGGATTCAACTCGTATAAATACAAGATGCTCACACTAAACTAATCCCTCCATTTTGTGCCTTTAATTGGTAACGTATATGTATATATTTTATTGACAGCGGTTACTTGTAGTCTTAGTTTTACAATTTCTAAAATATATTTTACACTAACATATATGTAACAGTGCCTTTCACATTTACTTTAGTGTATAAGTGCTTATTGTATCACGTGATAACTACAAGATTTTTTCAACCACCAATTTGGTACAACTGTGATTAAAAAACGACCAGAAAAATAATCTTTCAGACCTTTTACACATAGTGCATCAGAATCAAAATCGGCACTTGAATATTTTTGTAGGTAAATGCAATAATGTTATTAGCTGCAAAATTATTCAATTTAAGAAGCAATACTCAATGCAATCAATTATTGTGGCTACTAACATTGATTTTTCATTCTGTACTATGAGATTGATCATGTATTTGTGGGCCAATCAAGCATTTTAAATAGGACGGAAGAAATATTTTAAGCTGATGAGGAAAAGAATCTTATTTTGGATAAACATTTAATAATTAACAGTATTACAAAAAAATTGTGCAACGGTACTAAACTTTTTCCACAATTCATTTCTGTTAAGCTTTCAATATTTTATGACTGGTTCTATTGAAAATAAAAGAAATGTCATTTGCTTGGCCTATTGTTTTATTGTGAAATTATTGTATTAGATTATAATTGTAAATATATTGGAAATAAGTATATAAAATGTTACTTCTGAACCACGGTGTTTGGCATACGGAAAAATCGTCAAAAACGACCTAAAATCCTCAAAAATCGCTCCAAAAGAATATTTTCTATTTTCTTGGAATTTTTTTTGAATTGAATTAAAAAATGGTTAGTTATGAATTTTATTTGATCAAAAAATATGATTACACTCGTACTTAATCCTAGATAACTACTAAAGGCACAGCAAGCGTACTTATCGTACAGGTTATAACCTAGAGTTACACAAAGTTAAAAATGACTGTACAAAAATAACACTGATAAAAGCTCAAACTGAAGGCAATCAATTTTTATTAAAATGAAAAATGAACTTAAAAGTTTAAAATTGGTGCATCCTGTATGGCAAAACAGTAATCTAGTGAAATAAAATCGGGAATAACATATTAAAAATATACAGTACGTCCCAAATAATGACACGAACTGTACGTAACTGATTAAGTACAATAAGTAGGAACACTTCTTTGTTTCCTCACCACGTTCTAACAATATTCGGCTCAAAAAGCGTTTTGTTTAAATTAATAACAAAGATAAACTAAATGGCAAGTATATAATAACCTAACTTTTTGAGCACCATATTTTCATTGCAACAATCAACCTGTTTGTTCAGAAATTCTGTTGTCGTTTCCGCTTCGTATCCATTGCATCTAAAATCGGTTGTCTTTTAATCTGATACCTTCTACGAAGTTCGTCTATTTCTCTCTCCATATCTAAATCTAATTTGGCCATTCTCTGTTGCAACTCCTCAAAACTCAAAAACTTCAACTAGAAACAAACAACTCAAACCCAAACCTTCACACACCAAAATACCCACAAATTCAAAATCGCCGTCTGAGAAAGGCCGATGAAATTGTGCTTTTTGTTCTTGAGGTTGAGCCTGTTGAGGCGACGGCACTTGATTCAACTGTACATGAAAATGACTCTGGAAACGCTGCTCATCAGGCACGATTTCTGGACCATCCAGAGTCGTAGGAGTCACCACACCATTACCCTAAATTCGACCAAAAAACAATTTATCTATTTATAACAACGAGGGTTACCTTTACTTCCGCTTCCTTTTTGTCGAAGTGTTCCAAAAACAACGGTCGGTATTTTTTCCCACCCTGACTCGACCCTGTATCGTGCCCTAAAACAACCAAATCATATTACACATGACTGCAGAATTTATCAAACTTACGTTTCATGGTTTGTTCATCAACGTCACTGTTGATAACCATGGTTCCAAGCTCTACTAAGGTACCACTTTGTGATACAGGCAGCAAGGTACCACCTTTGCCCGGCACTAATGTACCCTCATCTGTACAAGGAAGAATGGTCTGATTTCCTAAAGCTACTTCATCATCCTGGGAAACACACCAAATAGTATATTACAGTACCAACATTTTTCTAATGAGTTTTTGCATGTTTTGATTTATTTTCACGCTTAATTCATTATTTTTCATTATTCATTATTTATTTAAAATTAATAAACAAAAACAGTAACTACAGTAGCTGCAAAATACCATTTTTTAAGTAGAAATAACTCAAATAGGTGTGAAAAACTACATTTAAATTAATTAACTCTTTAAAAAATTACGAAAGTAAAACAGGAAGGGCGGTGAAGCCGACACTTTCCCAAAATGATTGAGACATTTTGTCTTTTTTTTTGCTTTTTGTTCTTTATGTGAAAATGTCCAAAATTTCCGTAAAAGAATGCATTTGACAGATATTGTATTCCATGTTTAATGGCAATGTTCGAACTTTTTGAAATAAAAATTAAAACTTTAAGCAAAAAGTGAGGTTTTTTTTGGAAAAATTAAAATTATACCTCCCGTTGGGACACCCTTTATCTGTACTATTATTAAGTAATTACATTTTTACCGAAAACTGCTTGAAATTGTATTTACTTTATTTTATCTTTAGAGATTAGTATTTGTAAAAATTGAAATGATGAAAAACAATACAGGGTGATTCATCAGTTATTATTTAAGTGGGATTTTTGATATTTTGTAGACATTATTTATTTTATTTCTATTTTAGAGCATTTCAGGAAAATATTTTTGATTATACAGGGTGGCCCAAAAATAAGTTGCAATACAAGCTTTGATGTGCCACAAGTAGGGTAATGCCATTTAAAGTTGGGGTGCGTGGGGTTAAGGGGTTCATTAAAACACCCTGTATGTTTCTTGGCATTTTTGAATATAGCTTTTAATTTCAATGTTTTTAAACTAAACTTCTATTAGTCGATTTTGCTTAGTTTTTGAATTAAGTTGTTTTCTTTTGGCGAAAACATCGTCTTTTTCAAAATTTATTACACAAAAAGCTAAGACAGCCGTAAAAAAGTAAACAAAAATACCACTGCACAGAGGAAAGTACGAACTTTAAGACTATACCATTTTTTTAATGTATTACAGTCGAAAAGTTAAAAAAATTACGAAGTTTGTTAAAAGTTAAATAACTTAAATGAAACACCCTATCTTTTGTTTTTGACTCTAAGAGATTAAATGATCTTTCCAAAAACATTTACTTTCAAGTGTTTACAATTAATAACTGAAAAGATATTTAACTATAAATATTTAAAAAAAATCATTATTTCAATAGCCAAAAAGTGCACATTTCCAATAGGGATAGAAAAAATATCACTTTTATGTTACACTGAATCCGTTCTTCTTTATTTTTACAATAAAATAATTCGAATTTCAATATTTATGTCTTCTTTTACAATTTCTGGACGAATCCCAAATAAGTGATCAGTGGTGGAATTACTATGGTATACTTACCCATTTTAACATTAAAATTTAATTTAAAATTAAAAAATTTATTTATCAATTATAGACATCAAAAGTTTATTTTTTAGCTTCAAAGTTCGTATTTTCCTCTTTACAGTGGTAAAAATTTTTTTCCCAGAAAATTTTTAAAAAGAGAAAAAAAAAACAATTTAATTCAAAAACTAAGCAAAATCGACTAATAGAAGTTTAAGTTTAAAAACATTGAAATTAAAAGCTACATTAAAAATGCCAATAAACATATGGTGTTTCATTAAAAAAAAAAACAGTTTTTAAATAATTAAAAATATTTTCCTGAAATGAGCTGTAAAATAGAAATAAAATAAATAAAATCTACAAAATATCAAAATTCCCACTTAAATAATAACTGAGCTACAGAAGACCGGAGCTGAGATGAATCACCCTGTATAAGTTTTTCATTATGTTTTAAATTGCCTTTAAAAACGATATTTTAAGTTACATAATGTGTGGAGAACAGGTCATTCAGGAGGGTTAAATGTTCAGCTTATTGAGAATTTGAGTGTCTTAAAAAATCTTCATCTCCTGCTTTCGCGTTTTGTATCAAGTCGAATTGAACAAAAGGTGTTTATTTCTGTTTGTAAACTTACTGATTCTTCAGTGATGTTCTGCCTAACTCCTACAATATTAGCGGCAGAAGATACATTCCTATAACTTTGGTTTTCTCTAATTTCGTGTGCTTCTTGAATCATTTGGCTTAAAATACTAGGGAGTTTAGCATTACCTATAATTTCATTGCAATGAGACGAAATAGGCGAAAATGTGAGTAATACCTATAAATACATGATTGAGTAGATCAGTAGCACTAGCCCTTTCTTCGGGATTTTTAACAAGACAAACGCTAACAAAATCAATGAACTCCGGTGACCACTTATCAGGCTCCCTAAACGAAGGGGGTGGCTTTGTAGGGATCATGAATATTGCTCTCATTGGATGAATGTCACCATAAGGTGGTTTACCTTCCGCCATTTCGAGGGCTGTGATTCCTAAACTCCAAATATCAGCAACACAGTCATATCCTATTTCTTGTATAACTTCAGGAGCCATCCAAAATGGCGTTCCTAAAACATAAAATTAATACCGCGATTGTGACTTGTTTCAATTTTCTACCAATCACAGTGTTTCTTTTTGCCATGGTGTCTGTCAATTGGCCGGCAACGCCGAAATCCGCCAACTTCGCGTGTCCCTCAGAGTTTAGTAAAATATTACCGGCTTTAATATCCCTGTGGATTTTCCGACGTAAATGTAAATATTCTAGGCCTTTGAGGGTGTCGGATAAAATAGTGGCGATTTCATCCTCTGTGAGGGTCTTTTTACGCAGCCTCATGATGTCAGAGACTGAGCCGGCCCCACAGTATTCCATGACAATCCACAGATCAGTATTTTTAAAGTAACTTCCGTAGTATTTAACCACGTAGGGGCTGTCACATTGTTGCATTATTGAGATTTCTTTGATGATTTCTTGAAGATCGGTATCCACAGGTACTTGTTTAATTGCTAATACTTGACCAGATTCCTTGTGGAGTGCTTTGTAAACACTCCCGTAAGATCCCTCCCCCAGTTTGCATATTATATCGAAAACTTCCTCAGGCTGACGAGTCAAACTCTCCTCAGACAATTTTTTTAATTCACTAAAAAATTCACAAGTCAAGGAACTTAATATAAGCGTTCAAAAATAAGAAAAATAGGTTAACTTCAGCTACTTCCAAGAATTTTCAAGACTCACGGTGAGCAGTTGCATAATCTACAAAACTTACCTCTTGGAAGACATTTTATTTATTATAAATCACGTTTAATACCAAACACACTGAACATCTTTAATAACTTATCTAGAAATTATTTCTTGTAATCAAAATCTCCATGTTGAATACAGTCAAATGCGAATCTGCCTACACAAGACACATTGCTGCCAACTGTGGACCGCGTCAAATCACTCAAATCATTCCAATTTTAAATTTAAAAACTATAACAATGACTAGAAATTACGAATTCATCATAATTTTGATTTCAATATTCAGTTGTTTGTCAACACGACTTTTATTCCATTTATAGTTCACACAAAAACAATTTGTGGGCAAAACTAGTACTTCTAAAAAATGTGCCAAATCAATTATTATGTTTTTTTTTTAATAATAAATGATACGTTTTGCATTTATTTCACTTTTAATTTCAAATTTAGAGCAGCACCTATAGCGTAATTATTGCACTAATTTTAAAGAAGGTTCCTTCTCTTTGCCACCAGTAAGTGTCTCCATCTACACTTGGAACAATTTAAATTGTAACATACAAACCCGCAATTTTTGTAAAATATCATTTTTCCACGGAAGACATAATATTTTTGGTACAAATACAATAAAAATGACTTAAAATAACAAACATTTTAAATATTTACTTTATAACATATAATAATTATTGTAACATGTAACTAATTTTAACAAAAGATGTTGAGAAATTGGTAAAAAAATTGTCACCAAAAGAAAGTCGCCAAAGAAGAAAGTCCTGCTAAATTTTGCAAATATACCGACCATCATTTAATTATTTAGAAGAAAATTTAAATTTATATTGCGCAAATGTACAGGATGTGCCAAAACTCGCGTCTCAGAGAAAAATGTAAGATAAGATACCAGGAAAATGGAAAAAATGTTCTATTTATAAAAATTTCGAAGTTATGAATGTTTAAATTTTCTATTTATTTTTGTTGGAAAAATAATTTCCGAAGTTATTTTTTCCTACAAGTTATTAGAAGAGGAAACAATAAGGAGGCTGTATCCTAAATTGTAACTCTGTTTGTGGTCTTTATTGGCAATTTTTATACCTTAACTAAATAATTAAAAAAAAAAAACATATACAAGATTATCAGTATCATTAAATAGACATAAAAAAATGTCAAATGTCAAAAAATAAATGTTAAAATTGTCAAAATTTCTTGACAGATAGAATTTTTAAAATTTTTTTTCCATGTTCCTGGTATCTTATCTTACTTGAAGTTTTTCTCTGGGGCGGGAGTTTTGACACCCTGTACTTATACCTGCAATTTTCTCTTAAAAAATAATTTTTTGAGGCGCCATTGTTACACAATTGTTACTTATATATGTTTGAAAATTAAAACGAAAGCAAAAACGACTTTCTTTAAAAATTTAAAATACTTTAGACATAAAAAATGTCAGACGTCCAAAAATAAATGTCAAAAATTTTTGACAGAATTTTTAATACATTTTTTCAAGTTGCAGGTATCTTAGCTTACTTGAAATTTTGCTCTGGGACGCAAGTTTTCACACCCTGTATATTTTAACAGGTGGTATTAATAGTAGAGTTGATAAGAAGCCATGTAGTGTGCGATTTATCCGGAACACCTGAATAAATATTCAAGTACTAATCCAAAATTCTAACGCTCAATTTTGAAATTTTAGTTAATAAAAACTTTTTTCTCTGACTACTTTTGAAATATAAAATTAATAATTTTTATAATTCCCGACAGTTCTACTTTATCTTTCAAGGAACTTTTCATTGCACTCCCAATTCCCCGGAGTTAAAAACCTGTTCCTGTTGCATTGAATATGGTGGAATTTGTTTTGCGCCATGTGTGCCCTATTTATTAGTTAAAGTGAAAGTTTTGCGAAACGTAGTGTTGTAAGAATTTTTTCGGGACTAAAATCTCAAAAAATGTATTGTTCCGGAAAAATCCAGAAACCGACATTTCTCTTAACCAATATTTGTTCAGAAACCACAGACATGATACCCGAACAAACATTTACCCATAATTAAGTATTAAAATTGTCAATTGTCACCCAGATTTGTAATTTTCCTGTTGCCCAATGTTACGCAATTAAAAATAACCACAAAACGGGTAAAATTCAATGCGTCAGTTTATTGGCAATAAATGCGAGTATAAATTTTTGACCTAGTTGCTTAACGACTATCGCAAATACGTTTTTTTATCATTTGATTGCTTCAAACGTCATAAGTTTGCACAAATTTTCTCACATAGGTGCAAGGAATGACCGCTGAAGCGGTCAATGGTTCCGGTTGATCCCAAAAAGTCTGGACGTAGAGAATTCCCAGACATTACTATAGTCACGTCATCATCAAAGGCGCCGGTGGACGAGGCTTGCCTCCAAATGGCCACCAATGTGGCCAAAATTTTCAGTTTCATTATAATAATATTTGCTCTACTGTCTCCAACTATTAATCATTTATGTAAACCATCGGAAGCTGCGACGTTCTTTGGCAGAAATGTGGTTCAATAACACGAAACCTTGAGCTCGTTTGCTAAAATCATTCGACATAAATAACCTAATTTAAATTAAACGCAAGAGGCAAAATTGAGATTAAATCGATTGTTCCAGATGATAGTGTGAAGACAGAGATACGAAATCATCTGATTAGATAACGATTAACGAGTCTGTTGTCACTTGTGACGCACGGTGAAATGAGAAAAGTGCGCATGCGTAATGTTTAAAACTATCAAACTCAAATTAGACACAATTTTGGTTAATTTTTAAGTATTAAGAGATTATAATCCGGCCTGACTTTATTATTTAATCTATTATTTGGTTAATGCTTTTTTCTGGAGGTCAATGTGTATAATGAGGTGACGCCACTGTTTACCTAGAACTCTCCTCAAGTCAAATTACACGGATCTTTTATCAACAAAACAGGCAATAAATTAATAATTAACCTTAGAATATGACTTTCTAAACCGTCGGTACGTCATTTTATGGTTAAAAAGTTGATTAGCAAAGCATAGTACCTAACGGAACATGTAAAGTCAGTGGCGTATCATTGGGAATGACGGGAGTAAAAAACTCATTTAATTTTTTCTCTATTTATTACAAAAGGATAAATACAAAAATAATAAATAGGCTATCACTAAAATGCTTTAAGATAAAGCTGTAATATTCGCATAAATTACAATAAATAATTATAATTTATAATACACATAGTTTTTGTGACAGGTAGTAGAGATGGAGCATGGTGCACCCCATCGTGATGACATTTCCAATCGCGATGGTCATGTGGACCCTCCTGAAAGCCCTATGGATGGTCATGTAGTGCGGGCAATTGAGCAGATTTCCCGGCACCAATTTCCCGATTTCCATCCCCACCCCTGCTTGCGCTTCAATTCGGTTTTTTAACGTCATTAGTTTCAACAATGGAGGTGTGAGATAGAGACGGATCAATAACTCGATCAAAAAACACAAGGTCATGGCTCCCACCTGTCAATATTTAATCAGTCAGTGTGTCCAACTGTGTGCGAAATTTTCTTACCTGAACGGCAATCTCCGTCGATTTGAGATGGTAATTGTGGGCTCGGAGGAAGACATAAAGTGTTATTAAACTCAAAATAGAATTGAGGAGGAAATATTTTGGAAATAACACTTTTTGGATGTTGCCGAAAGTGTGTCGGGGGAGGGCAAAGTAGAGAGAAAGGCCGGAAATGAACGTCATCCAGATTTGGGCCCCGAAGTGGGCACTAAACGCGCCCATGTAAACAAATGACCACAAGGGGGATTCGAGGGATGTTTTTCTTTCCGAAGGGATGAGCATGAGAGAGACCATTATCACAGCCAACGCGGTTATCACATGAGCCGGCTGGGTGGTGTGGAACAAAATTCTGAAACAAAGCATTGATAACACTGTTTTTCCCAATCAAAACACTCGTACTTGTAACAAATCGAATCCTGGAAGGACCTGTACCACTTATCTAATGTGAAAAAAACCACTTTGGTGTAGTAAGTCGAAAGGGCGAGGATATCCTCCTGGTAGGGCACTTTTCCACTGTCGTTAATTAACTTGACGCTTTTCGGGGGCCTCAAGGGCCCCTTCAATTCACCACTTGTAACTTTTCCAACACACATTTTCTTTGACTTGCACTCAGTGCTTGTTCTCAGAATGAGCGGTTCACTTTAGGGTAGGTGTTTTATAGATACTCCCCCCCACCCAAACCACTTAAGTCCAGGCACGTGGGTTTGACTTAAGTTGCATTACTTACAGTTTGATTGATTGGATGATTTTGCCAAGGGGGCGAAGCCTACCCAAGGGTCAGTAATACAACTCCCCCCTGCCACCATTAAAAAATCAAATTACAGGGAACTGTAATTTAATATTTTTTAATATCGGAAAATTTAAACTAACTGATAACAGGAAATGAATGAATGAATAATTTGACCGTTGTCCTGTCAACTCAAGTGTTGCAAATACGTTACACAATTACAAAATTGATGCTTTGTTAAAATTAATTATTGTAATGCAGTTTTTTCTCTGACGTAAATGGAGTTTTTCGTGTTTTTTTTCGGAATTACCAGCCTGACAGGTGCAATTCCTTATTCCTCGGATTAATCCTCAAGCAATGACCTCTCCCGTTGCAGTCTCCAGTTACATAACTGCAAGGCCACTTCCGATGTCTGGGGTGATTCATTAACAATTAACTTTGTTTACTCATTTATTTTTCGAAACTATTTTTGTTTAATATCTACGAATTCCAGTCTAATGCGAGGTGCCACAGTACAAAGTTTAAAAGGTCTACGTTTATTATTGTTCGATAATGACGCGAGTAAGGCCACTTTTAACCACCTGATTCTAAAAATTCGCAACACATGACCGTTCAAAACATCACGTTGGCGAATTCTATTTTAAATTTGTCATTTTCAGGTATCGCGGGATCTCCAGAGAAACTGAAAAGTGATTAATTCTCCGAACTCGCGGCTTAGGATGCCTCATAAAAAAAAACGACTCCCCTCATGTCACGTATTATTATTATTTTCTCGGAACAAATTTCTGGATTACTACAGAGTGTCCCACCTAAGACTTTCGGGTCTAATACCCGTTTTTTGAAAATTTAGTACTTAGAGATAAATAAAACAATCCTAGCCTTTAAAATGAGATTTTATTTAGCCTTTTAAAAATGTTGAATTAAAAAAACAATAAAATTGAATGAAGATGCAAAAACATGGGCGGCTATAAAAAAACGATATCACCGAATTTTAGTCACCCCTGACTGTCATCTGTCAGGCGACAAGTCATTGATATTTGACGTTTATTGTTTCTCTAACTTCAAAAATTAATAACGTAATTTAGGAACTCCATTTATGCTCGAAGTTACCACTATTGGCATTAATGGTTCTAAAGGTGTCCTAACTTAATTTATCACAGATTTCAAGGTTGTACAAAATGTTACTTGGAGACTAACTTTGATAAAAAAAATTCAAAAATTAGGTCAAAAACATAATCGACGTATTTCTGCTGATTCAGACGAATAATTTAGTTATTTTTTGTGTAGAGGTCTATTTATAGTGCTTAAAAATATAATTTTAAATTGAGAAAGTTTGTGTGTTTTATCTTGAGGTAATTTTATTACTAGTGATTAAATCTCCACCTTCTAAGTTGTCTACATTTTAAATTTCATAAAAATCAGTTGGCACGTAACACAGATATTAGACCCGAAAGTCTTACGTGGGACACCCTGTATAGGCATGTTATGCCACTTACTGATTTAGACTGTCATTATCTAATGAAAGAATTAATGCATTTGGTATTTTTTATTAGTAAATTGTCGCAACACTATTTTCAACATAAATCACTGCTTGTTTCAGATTCAAATATTTGCAACGATAAATTATCTGAGTGCATTTTATTGTTTATATTGACAATGGAGGACATCACGTAATGTTCACGTAATAGGTACTCATTATAACAAAAGTCGTGATTTATACAAACATTTGCCGATAAATATGATTGTATTTGTCATCCCTTTACGTAAAAACTACTAGTAGACACCTTTGTTGTTTGATGTACAGGGTGTTTTATAAAAACTCAAAGAAGGAAAAATGCCAGGAACATTAAAAAAAATTAAAAATTCACATGTTTTATCTATTACTAAAACGTGATAGCTCCAACTCTCTCAACCCATGTAAAAATCAATTTAACTCACTCTCTCGCAGTAGCAATTTTGGACATGCTAAAAGTGAAAAACGGCAAAATGCGGACATTAAGCAAAGATAGAAAACGAAAATCAAAAAACTACCGATCGCGAAATTTTCATGGCTGGAAAAGGCCTAAAAGTGACTAAATTTTATGTTTAAAAAAAAACTTAACCAAGAGTGCGTTGGATTTGACACTTCTGACAGTTGCTGACATTTTGTGTAAATGTGTTTCACACTTTTCAAAAAAATCAAACGAAAACCTCGGTAATACGGTGATAAACGTTACGGGTGATTTGAAAAAGGTAAAAGGGTGACATGAAGACTATTTGGGCGAAGACTGCTGGTGTAAAGTGCGAGTTGGTGGGACTCAAAAAATGCCGTTGTCTCTATGAAATACGATTTCATGCACACTTTTTGGCTTTACAGAGGTAGGTGATGATTCGTGAACTTTTAGTTGAGGTTTAAAAAGTATTTCCAGTGTTTTAAAAAAAAAAAATTAACCCTCGCGCATGCGCACACTTGCGAAATTTTATAACAGAAAAACTTCAAAATTAGAGATAGAAATTTTATGTCTATTTAGCTAGAGACTGTTAGAAGAGGTTTTGTACCTACCTTTACCGAATAATTATGAAAAAACAAACCTATACAAGACCATCGGTAATAATAGACATAAAAAATGTCAAATGTCAAAATTTTTGACAGATAATGTTCCTGATATCTTATCTTGTCATTTTTCTTTTTTTGTGTTTTTATAAAACACCCGGTATAGGTGAGTAGATAAAGCGTATCAAAAGTGCGAAATAACGATGATAATTTTTATTTTCATGATTGCGACACACCTTTTTGACAAGTTTTGTGCAAATTAATCCCAATTAAATTAACACTGATAAAATTTTCGGTATCCAAGTGAGAGATAGAAATTTTGCAAGTCTTGCAGCATCGTTGTCGTTGCTTGAGTTAAAAATAGCTTGTGGAGAAGTGGCGGGCCAAGTCCGGCTCTGGCCCTCTCCTGAGTGGTGTGGTAGTGTTTGTATAGGAAAAGAAAGGCCTTTATGCCCCCGACAGCCACTCCATTACGTTGCTATGAATAATTGTAAAAATAGACGATTTCATTTGAGGAATGCGTGGTCGAAGAAGGGGCGCAAGTGACTACGTGATCTTAGCCTCGTATGAGTTCACTGATACAGTTTCTATTGCGAATTTGATGACGTGACTGTATCGCATAAAACTGAGTTAATTTCCTATCGAGGTCTACCACCTATGTGTATTTTGTCGAATTTTGATTGGTAATTAGAGCAAGATTTTTGTCGGGAGTAGCGGCTGCATCCCGGGGGCAAAGTCCTCGCAATACGTTGAACCGTGTCACTTGACTTGGCCAAAGAATTGCATGATGCAACGCACGCGATTGGGGGGCACTGGCTCACCACGTCCCCACCATTTCCGTCTTCCGAGACGTTTTATGCGAAATCTTGATCAAATATTTCACACAGCATTGGGATTATTTTATTATTCATCAAATGCGGCCTTGCCTGACAAACATAAAAAAAAACATTTTTTAATATATTTTTTTATTTAAATGCTACTACCTTGTGAAATTCTGCAAAATCATCATAACAAACAATCAAATTATAGTCACACAACCTATACCTGATTTAAATTAAATAAATAAAGTTGTATCATATTTCACATATTTATTCAGTGTATTAACCTCTCCATTCATCAACACTTTTAAATCATTGTGTTATTGTTCTAAACCACTTATTCATAATTTAGAAAGTAAAAAATAATGCATCGTCTAGATTTAATAAGTAAATAAAATTGAATCAAGTGATAGCAATGAACTTATCTAGGATGAGTAATGAAGTTTTCTTTGTTTTGAATTTCCTAATATTCTACTGCATTGTATTATAAAACATGTGTAGTTACTCTAAATGGTAATTATAGTCTCAGATAAGCTTTTACATTTATCATCGAGAGTTACATCATGAAATAAGTGATGAAAGAGTATCCTCAGTAGCTATTTCCTACTGATTTAAAATATTTTTTCTATTTCTGAAAGAAAGCCTATTTCGATACCAAAACCGATTTGGGTGCTGAAATAGACTTGTACAATTTACTTTCTAGAGGTTGGTAATGATGATTTTCAGCGGCGTTTTGAGCGATTTCTCTTATTTCAGGTGGTGTGCATGAAACATTTGCAGTATTCATTGTTAATTCAACAAAATTAATTTGTAATTACAAAAATTAAGTTCGAATTATAGAAATTAATCTGAACAACTTCATCTCGAATTCCGATGAATTTTTTTTGAATAACTGGAATTTCGGTATTACTTTTCAAAAACAACGTGATAGGCAACCGATTATACATTTCAAATTTTATTTTAATTTTTCCGAAGGAATAAGTTATACAAAATTCTGAAATGTACTCGAGATTCCTGGGAATTATTTGGAATTATTGAAATTATATTTGGATTGCTTGGAATTACTGGAATGTGTGAATTGCTGAAATTTTTATACAATTGTTGGAATTCTTTTTCGATTTATTAAAGAATTTCTTTTGAAAATAACGTTAAAGTTTTTAGAACTGTCGGAATTAATTTGGAATTACAGGAATTATTTTGGAATTGCGATGGATTACTGGAGTTACTAGAGTTTCAGTAGAATGTTTTCGAATTACTGGAATTTTTGAGACTTGACACTTCGAAAATCGAATTTTTCAAACATTGTGACACCTTATTAGGGGTAAAGTTCCTAAATTTTGAAAAATTGACTTTTATGTTAAAAAAGTACGTAAAACGGGCAAAATACAAAAAAAAAACTTGTTTCATAAGTCATTTGTGGGAATTCGACAAAACTTGGCGTTCTTTAATATACTATTTCGTTTAACAATAAAAATGGCCAAAAATCAATGGTTCAATAAGTATAAAATGAAATGTTTTAAGCGTTTTTGCGCTAAAAAGTTGTTCGACCATTTTTACAAGACTAAAACTCAAAAAAATGACTTTTCTTAACTCAACCTTACGTTTTATGTATGTACATTTCTAAGTATTTAGCATTAATTGGATTTAAAGTTTTTTATTTGGACATTATTTTCAAAATCTGGGTGCGCCACTGCTGAAAAAAAAAAGTCATCAGCTGTTATAAAAGAGGTAAAAATTCATCAATAATTCTAATGATTTTAGCATAAAAAAGAGTTTTTTGCAAAACTTAAAAGATATTTTTCTATGAAACTGTGAGTCCTCTATGAAAAAATCCTAATCTCGGATTCTATGAACGATTTATCATCAAGCGACAACAATCTGGAGCTACAATCTCCTCCAAAGACGCATTTAACTTTTTTCTCTTGATCTTATAATAAAAATAAAAATATATGCTTAAACTATTTTGAACAGAGAAAGATGCCATGTGAGGTAAGATACCAAGAACATGGAAAAAATTAAAAAAAAAATTCTATCTAGAGTCATGAGATTTTAAATTTTGCACTTTGATTATTTATTTTTGTTGGAAAAATAATTTCTCGTAGAAAAGGAAACAAGGAAGCTGTATCCTAAATTGTAACTCTCTTTAACGTTATTTGTGGCTTTTATTGGCAAAATTTTTGTACTTTTACTAAATAATTATAAAAAAAACACATACAAGATCATCAGTAACATTAAATAGACATAAAAAATGTCAAATGTCAAAAAATAAATGTCAAAATTCTTTGACAGAGAACTTTTTAAAATTTTTTTTACATGTTCCTCGTATATTATCTCTGGGGCGCGAGTTCTGTCACACCCTGTATTTATTTTACATCGGCACCGAAATCTGCACTTGATTCTATATCAAACAGCGAAAACTGTAAGTCGATCGAAGCAATAGTTTTGCGCAATTTTTACAATTTGTTGATGATCAAAAACAAAAAAAATGCTTTTCTAGACGCAAAGTTGTTCTTGACCTTCGTCTATAAATTTTTATCATTATTACAATAAAAGTGACTTAAATTACGATATTTGAGAGTAAAAAAAGATCGGAAATCACATCAATTATCGTTTTGTATATCTAGTAGTACCAATTAAACGATAATGACAGGTCATGTGCAAAATGCATGATTTTTATTTTTATTACAAGGAATTAATTTTATGATACCCCACGTCACTTTGTTTTTGTTGACTGAAATCATATGAAGTTGTCAATTGGTAGTGGCAATAGTGAGTTATTTATTAGTGACACTAAAATTCTAATTAATAAGATAATTGAATAAAAACGTGAAGAAAATGTTTATCAGACTTATAACAAATTTTATTCAAATTTAATCATCTTTTCACACATAATAAACGAGATAAGTGGATTACTTGGCATTGTTTTTAACTGATGGATTCCCTGGTAATCAATAAGTACCTACTTTAACAAGTCAAAAACAATTATTTGAAACGATCTTTATACTACTACCCCGTTTGACCTAGGTTTACACTAAAAAAAACCAACTTGGTCTTGTATTTCAAAAAACTTATATGAAACCCTTTTAGCAGGTTTTAATCGGTTCCATACATATATATTAGCAACCCCGTGTAATAAAGTAATAAAGTGACTTGCGTTATTTTAATGAAACAATTAGTTTAATAGTTGGCATATTAATTAGCTGACTTAAACACGTTTCTGTTGCGAGTCTTCATAATTATGCTAACACAAAAAAGAGAAATTGTCAACTTTCGGATTTGTTTTTGCAGTCTGGTTTGTTAAACAAGTACCCAAATTGTGTCGCTAGTGCAAATACGGAAGTATTTATTTTTAAATACTCTGCAAATGTTTACATAAAATATCGCACTGACCAAGTGTCAATTACTTGTGTCTATCGTTAAATCTGAAAAGATACTCAAGTTAAGCACATTGTTTGTTTTATTACAATACTTGTAATTATTATAAATATAGTAAATATTTAAGCCGAAACACTTCATCTTCATCTCACAGATTAAAACAAATAGGCAAACACTTTGATGAATTATCAGTTTTAAATGGTTCACGTGAAAATGACCAATCCATAATGTGTTTTTTTGGGAAATTACAAAACAACAAAGCGATTGAATTTTATTTTGAAGGATAAGCAAACAAGTCAGAGATTTTTTACTCACATGCTTGAGTTGAAAGGCGAATTATGTAGATCTCGAATGCAATTATTTAATACAATAAACATTTGAAACAACACAATAGGTACTTGTGCAGAAAATGCCACTACTACTAGACTACCTATACCTTACTTATACAGGAATATTATAAATGACTTTGTTCATTTTAACATCGATGTACAAAATTTGCCGCTCCCTAGTTTATTGATTTCAATTATAATTAAATATTTTATAGTTCTATTGAATGTTTTGCAAGATATTCCTTTTTTTTTCATTTATTCAATCTCTGTTGTAATAGAACACAATAATAATCTTTTATCCCCAAAACAGTTAACAATTCAAATTACGTTACATCACAGAATATTATTTTTCTTAATTTTGTGGTTTTACTTCAAAATTTAAGTTTCATTAATAATAAAAAATCACAAGTGAGAAGATTTCAACGTAAGTTTCGTAAATAAACGCCTACAAACAAAAATATTACGTAAATTGAAACTGTCAATTTTTTGTTGACAGTTATAGAGCGGCAAATAGTAGAGTTAGGGAAATTGTAAAAGTATACCTATGTTTAGTAATGAAAAATGGAAAAATGCTTTGATTTTGTTACTTTATTATTAATAAATAATATTTTTAAATTAATTGTTCTTTACTTCTTTTATAAATTGCAATACTTACTAACCGTTCAAAGACTTTTTTTTCAGAACAAATAATTTATGTAATAGTAATGAAAAATATTTTTTGCTCCTCTTTCCAGAAATGTTGGTAATATTTGTTAACCGTTAACATCTGGGATTGAGTTTAAATGACAAGTGGTTTGATCGAATATTTTTTTAATTTTGAGTTTAATGTGGACATTGTGTTGCCAACCTAAATAGATGTAATTTTCCTAGCACAAACCATTTGAATCATTGAATATATTTTTACCACAGAATGGTTCTGTGTGACGCCACTGCTCAAGTTTCCTCACTACACCGAGTGATATGAATAAAATGCTCGAAAATTTCAAAAGAATAATTTACAACCCTGTATTTGCATAAAATCAATCAATCAATTGATCTTAATCCTGGTGTAAAATAATTTAGATTACGTTAAGTGACCACAAACAACAAACTTTTCCGCAATTTTTTGTTTGATGCACCGGGAATATAAAAAATGATTCCCGACATAAAATTTTATGAGAAGTTGAATTAAAATTGACGTAAAATTTTGAGTACTTGTTAGCTAAGCCCGTGTCGAGTGCTCAGATAACTTTTTATTTAATACGATTAGAAAATTGAGAGGTCAGTAACAGATCAGGTGTTATTTTTGAAAGATTAAAAGTCAACGATAGTGTGGAAAATTTAACTCAAGGTCAATGATTAAAACACTTTAGTTAAAAAATAGTTTATTGACGAAATAGTTATTCAACGTATAATTTGGCCCCTTCTCTGGCCAACCTGTCAGCACATTCGTTTCCCTCGATTCCACTATGGCCAGCGACGTGTGTCTAAAACCCCAAATTGAACTCAAAAAATTTCACTCCAAAGTACTTTTACCCATTTTATGTCCAGTCCTTCACACAATTTGTCCAACTTTTGAAAATCAGTCTTATTTTTAACAGGATTATTGCTACTTGACAATTTCCAATTATTTTTCTTCCATGCTTTTATCCACTTCGTCATTGCATTAATAGTAAATTGTGAGTCGGTAATAATTTGCAATTTTTTAATCCCTGAAAACAATCATCATCTTCTGCAAAACTGGGCCCCAAAATTACCATTATCTCTTGCAATCTGGACTGCGCAAATGCAGGCTTGAATTTCAGCAGCGTTGTTAGTAGCCTTACCTTTGACCGGCTGGGAAGCATTCAAGGGGTGATTGTCGCCAAACCAAACCCCTATGCCGGCCTTTGCCCCCCAACGTCCGTTATTTTCACAAGCCCCATCTGTGTACACTATGACATAATCGCCGTCGCGTGAAAAGTCACATTTTGCCTTTTTCGTCGAGGGCGCATCAAAATCACACTGGTCCGACGTGGTTTTACAACTAAAAAATGTGGTACTTCATCGAATCAAACATAATTTCACCATTACTTTAATTTAAACGAGTTCGGGAATAACTGAGATTCAGCTTTTTCCAGTTCTTTTCTAATACTAATCATCTCAGTTTTTAATACGTCGGCTTGCTTTTTAGCCTCCTGGAGACGATCAAATAACAATTTTAATTCCTTCACTTTGGATCTGGAATTTATTTGTTAATAGAAATATAAACATAACCTCAAAAATTACGGATCAGCTGCCATCGTTAGGGTTGGAGCAAATTGGGGCAAATATTTTTCAACACTGGCGAGACACAATTTTAACACTAAATTGTTATAAAAAATCGGTGTATTTGTTAGTCTTAATATATTTAATCTCAAAACGGACCAGCTGTAACTATAAAAAATAATACCAACAGACATTTTTTAGTGGGTGGGCAACCAACAATACAGGCCAATTTTTTTTGTAGAATAATAATAAATATTTATCATTTTCGAAAAACTTTATGCCCAGCTTGTGATTCTAATGTGGTAAAATTACTTAAAACAATGTTTTGTATTTTCAGTTGTCAATCGCACTCGTTCAGTGGTAGTCAAACATTAATTCAAAATTATAATTTTTTCACTTTAATATCAAGTAGGTTGTAGAGGTCTAAATGCATCTTTAATTTAAAAGCAGATTCACACAAAAAGTGTCATTATTGTCATTCAGAACAAATTTAATTATATCAATATTGACCTGATGTTAAATTAAATGATTTTTTGCTACCTCGAGACACATTTATTTGGAAAAAACTATTTTTAGGGACAATTGGGGTTAGGATTGTTTGAATTTTCGCATGGTTGCCACCTTAAAAGAATCCTTTTCAACGACTACTTTGATGAAAACGAGTTATACTAAATATGAAAATGGTTAAAATTGTTCATTTTAGTTTATTGTAAACGCAAAAATAACAACGTGACTTAAAATTTCATTAACAAAAAATGTAGTAGTGTCCTCTAAGACAACACAATGACCACTTATTTTAGTTACAATAAATTCAATGATGTTAAAATAACGCCAACCAACATCGAACTTATTTGTCATCTCCAAGAACACATTTTTGTCAATTAGTCCCTACATTCCATGACTAGTTACGGGAGTAGATAGGACCTGTGTGTGGCTGATAGATTCGACAAAGCAGCTGGGGAAATATCAGTTGGTAAAGGTGGCTGTTTCTTTGGTTTGTGAAGTAGACTACCAAGTTCGGTTAGTAGAAACCTTGAAAACTGTATAAGGGCTATATGGACAGCATATTGCATAATAAGAGCTCCAAAACCCTTGTAAAGCCCCAACGTGCCTTCACTTGCTAAGCAACTTTCGTAACAGTCCATTGCACCAGCAAAGTTCGTTAAGATTGGCAACACTGATCGGCCACTGTCCAAGTTGTCCACAATTGTTCTTGTCCCCTACAAACCGAATCAATCAATGCTACCAACTGATCTAGTAATTACCTGGAGATACAAGCGGTGGATTATTGTTTCACAAGGATAGAAAGCAACATCACTTGCAATGTTTGCAATAAGTGAAGCTGTGATATCAAGGTCTTGTAAGACAACCGAATGGGACATATCTTTCGGCAAGGCCCCATTAGCTTCATGTTTGTTTTTAAACCGTGAGTGTAAAAGACGCACTGAAGCCCCTTTTACCAACATATTAAATAAATACTTTGAGAGTCCCAGAGTTATGGTAGGTACGATTAATACCCAAATTGGTAACATTCGGCCTTTAACGCCCCCATTCCAGTTTAATAATCGCATAAAACCTTCTTTAAAAACGTCCAAAATTCCTGGTTTTTCGCTCGCGATTTCACTCTGGACCGTTTCGACAAAAGACGCCGAGTAAAACGGAGTCACAATCGCTAAACTAACACTAAAACATGTTATTTCCAGTAATTATTAACAATTAAACCCAATTACCATTTTAGTAATGTGTGTTGAAAAAATTGTTTCAAGTTACTGTGCCACCGGATTTCCCTAAAATTTGTAGCAAATTTAAGTGAATTCTAATTAAAAGTAACTTACTTGGGCCATGGGGTCACTTTTGAAATTAAGTCTTCCACCCCTAAAGAAATCCCTCTGACAAGCAATACGGACCCCAATCCCTTCCAGAGGGTAGTCAAACCTTGATGTTGATGCAACCTATAGACTGTCGGTATTAACGTAAATGGTAACAAATGGTATCTCTGAGAAGTATGATGGACTTGACACTGCCGACGTAGGACTTGAAACGGGTGACTTAGCAAGTTTTCAGCCACTAAACTAACAAAAGCGACCCCCGAGCCAATCCGGCGTTTCAAAATTATATCTAAAAAAAAAAATGTTAACGGTTTAAAATGGTAAAAACCACCAAATTACCTTCTTGTGTCTGATAGTAACGGTTAGGGAAATTCGCCATGATTTCCCGATTTCGCAAAAACTCCTCATGAGTGATTTGTCGTTTGGACGTTTTCAAGTGATTTAATTCATCATCGGAGTTTAAATCGAGGTCTAAATCCAGATTATTTTGACTTGCCATGTCCTTAACCTAACTTTTTCAGTTCACTAGAACATCGCCCACTGGTCAAATGATTTTAACTTAAATTTGCAAAATCTCAATTAAATTGTTGCTTTTTCCAAATTTGGGCCCATTTTTGGCAAAAATCACGCAACACTTCGGGCTTTTACTCCTAATTCAGCTTTATTTTTCACTTGACAATGACATTAGATATCGGAAATAAGTATCGATGTTCCTAAAACATCGATGTACGTCAGCAAACATCGAATATTTTACATCGATATTTAATGATTCGATAAGAAACTAAAAATTTTTCGGAGATTTTGAGTTTATTTTTTTCTGAAATCATCATTATTTAGATTGCAATCAACAATACATCAATTTACTTTCAGCGTGTTAGGTAAGAAAAAAGTTTTTTTTTTAATTTCCTAATTTTCCTGATTTACCAGTTACCGGTTATTAATGACTGACAGCCGTTATATTCCTTAACGGACGGAGGTTATTAAAAATAACTTTTCATCTGTCATTTCACGTATAACAGTAGGGGATTACGAAAAATAAATAAATACCTTGTGGTTTTTATTCTCAATTTATTTTTAGTATATAGGTTATTTATAGAATGTATTATATTTAAAAAATATATTATTTTGGTTTAAGCCAGCGTTAATAACGATGTTAAACCAAAAAAAATGCAAAATTCGAGTCTACTTCGGGGAAACTTTACTCAATTTTATTAGATGGCGCAACCAGTTACTTCTCTCGTTCGCTTACGGTTGCAAGTGTGGATAAAATTGAGCGAAGAGGTTTGTTTGGTATCGCTTCTCGGCCTTATGGCTAAGATCAAAGTGTAGTATCTGTTCTTATCAGCTTAATATCTGATACGCCCCGCATGCGGGGCCAGTATATTAAACTGATTTTTGGAAATTGACGGAGGCAAGGGGCTTGCTCCACCTCCGTCGCGGGTTGGCCCGGCATTGCAGTACAGTCGGGATCGGCCCACCTGATATAACTGAAACATATTATTTTGTATCTCACTGGTTGGTGATCATGACGACTTACTAAAGTCGATATGTCAATAATGGCAACCAACCCAATGGAAACAAATTTGAAATTCCCCAAACCGAGAAAAAAGACTTCATCCACCGACGATACTAAAACCCAGAACCGTTAAACACGCACCAGGGCAAAACTCGCAAAGAAACCAAAGAGACCCCATAATTTTGAGGAATAAATCAGGATGGACACAGGTTTACAAACTACTCCAATTATCCAAAATCAATACAAACTACAACAGGGAAACTGGAAGAGGTGGGTTATTAATGGTAGAGTATTTCTAATAATAGTAATAATACACACATTATTCTTGTAAAGTTTATTACATTTTTTATTTACAATCCATAATGAACTTAATATTATTATGGAAACTATACATTTATAAATTAGTTTAGGATACCTAATTTTTTTTCATTTCCAGCGTATTTACGTAACCAATTTCGCTTAATCTTACATTGATAATATTTTGCATTTTGCCCAACTGTATTTCGTATTATTCGTAATTTGTTGAGATATGCAGTTAGATTTATCAATGAGAATCTTCATTTATCTTGTTATATAGACAAAAAAAATGTATTAATATTTTCGCAAATATACAGGTGCGCCAGAACTCGCGCCCCAGAGAAAATTTTCAAGTAAGGTAAGATACTAGGAACATGAAAAAAATGTTTAAAAAATTCTATCTGTCAAAAAATTTTGACATATATTTTTTGACATTTGACATTTTTTTATATATATTTAAGGATATTGATGATCTTGTATATTTTTTTTTACAATTATTTAGTAAAGGGACAAAAATTTTGCAAAAAAAAGCCACAAATAACATTGAACAGAGTTACAATTTAGGATACAGCTTCCTTGTTTCCTCTTTTAATAGCCTATAGCAAAAAAACTTGGAAAAATTATTTTTCCAACAAAAATAAATAGAGTTAAAGTGCAAACTTTAAACCATCGTAACTTCGAATTTTTTATAGATAAAATTTTTTTAACATTTTTTCCATGTTCCTGGTATCTTACCTTATACAGGGTGCGCCAGAACTCGCGCCCCAGAGAAAATTTTCAAGTAAGGTAAGATACCAGGAACATGAAAAAAATGTTTAAAAAATTCTATCTGTCAAAAAATTTTGACATTTATTTTTTGACATTTGACATTTTTTTATATCTATTTAATGATACTGATGATTTTGTATATGTTTTTTTAGAATTATTTAGTAAAGGGACAAAAATTTTGCCAATAAAAGCCACAAGTAACATTGAACAGAGTTTCAATTTAGGATACAGCTTCCTTGTTTCCTCTTTTAATAGCCTATAGCAAAAAAACTTGGAAAATTATGTTTCCAACAGAAATAAATAGAGTCAAAGTAAAAACTTTAAACCCCCATGATTTTTTTTATCATTTTTTCCATGTTCCTAGTATCTTATCTTATATGGCATTTTTCTCTGGGGCGCGAGTTCTGGCGCACCCTGTATAGCATTTTTCTCTGGGGCGCGAGTTGTGGTGCACCCTGTATAGATAAAGTAGGTTGTCAATAAAATAAACAATAGTATATTATATTACTTGGAGTAGAAAGCATTCATTTTCGGTTGAGCTCAGATATTTGCAGCCGAGGCAGGCAAACTGAGCGAAACACGAAAAAAGCTCCGAGTGATATACAGGTGATTTTGAAATAGTTTTCGTAATTTTAACTACCAAGTCACAGTTGGGTACGTTAACAAAAAAATATATAATTTTTTGGAAAAAGCCAATACCGGACGAGAAAATTATGATCAAAATTTGGGTAGTAAATTTTAAGTACGACACTGGATCTTCACTTTCCATTTCAAGTGGTTTTTAGGGTTGTAAAAGAAAAACAAATAGAGACGCTTATCGCTTGGCGTTTTTGTAGCTTTGTCGTTTGTTGACTTTTCAATCAGTGATAAAATCGCCACTGCAGTCAGTGTTTCGGTGAAAATTTGTAATTAATAATTTGTGTTAATAAAACGAAATGCGTTATTAGTTCTAATTACTAAAGTATCTAAAAATGGAAACTTTCCTTCTACTTCTTTTTCACAAGTGAAATTAATACTTTCAAAGCGGTTGTCAAAAATTTCGAGGAAATGCTCAATGCTCATTGAGATCAAAAATTACAAAAATGTCATCCATATACCTTAACCAAACTCTAGGAAAATATTCGAGCTCATTTTCTAAATCCTTTTCAAATCGGCTCATGAAAAGGTCAGCTAACTCAACCAATAAATGACTGATGACATCCCGTAATTACAACATGGCGGAATGCGGGAGCCGGAGTTTGGTTATGTTAGAAGACTATCGAAACAACAGAACTTTATTTAAACAAGTATCAATACAATGAACACAAATTATTGTTTCCTAAAGTTATAATTAATTGTGCAATTGTGACAAGTCATAGTGATTCTTGCACCCGATTCAAAAAACACCCAAACACGACAATTACAAACGTGTGAAATAAGTTTTATTAGTGGAAATGTCAATCTGCATCAGACTACTTGATTTTTTTGTTTTATTAGTGGAAAGGCGAATTTGCATTCCTGTGCTACTTGATTTTACAAGAAAAATATTTTTATCTTTTGCCTTAAATTTGGCTAGTAGTAGAAAAAATAGTATATACACCACGGTGTTGGAAGACATTTATAGGCCTCGCACCTCATTCCTCTCGGGGCGAAGCCACTCGCGAAATAATCTTGGTGCTCGGTCAATAATAATAATAATAGTCTTCGCCACCTTGGTGTATAATGTACTATTTTTTAATTTCGTAATTTCCGTGATTTACCAGTTCAATAACCGGTTCAGTTACCGGTTATTGAAGACTAACAGCCGTTATATCCTTAAAGAACGAAGGCTATTAAAAATAACTTTTCATCTGTCATTTCACGTTAAATTCAAATAACAGTAGGGGATTACGAAAAATAAAAACCTTGTGGTTTTTATTCTTAATATATTTTTAGCATACAATAGGTATATTTATAGAATGTATTATATTAAAAAAATATATTATTTTGGCGTAAGCCAGCGTTATATATAGGTATATTTATAGAATGTAGTATATCAAAAAAAAATATATTATTTTGGCGTAAGCCAGCGTTAATTACGATGTTAAACCAAAAAAAAAAAATGCAAAATTCGAGTCTGCCAGGGGGAAACTTTACTTAATTTTATAAGATGGGGCTACTAATTATTTCTCCCATTCGCTTAAGGTTGCAAGTGTAGTTAAAATTGAGCGAAGAGGTTTGATCGGTATCGCCTCTCGACCTTATGGCTAAGATCAAAGTATAGCCTGGCTAGACTTAGAAAGTGCTTTCTCATCCATCCCTCACAAGCACATAATCGACACACTAAACAACTTTAACCTACCGCAACAGATTGTACACCTCGTACAAAATGCTTCGGCAAAGAAGAAACGACGGACCCTATCCCCATGAAATCGGAAGTCCGTCAAGGTTGCCCATTAAGCCCCATCCTCTTCAATTTGGCAATAAATATAAATATAATAATAAATATAAAATCCAATAGTTGTAATCGCGTCTAAACACGAAGACCTCCAAAGAATGCTGGATGCCATCTCATCGGTGGCTAACGACATGCAGATACGATTCAACCCAAGCAAATGCGCAATACAAGACTTTGACTGCACGAAACGGAACACCTGCCACATGGCAAAGCCGAAGATCCAAAATGAAGAGATCTGTCCCCTAGACGAAGGAGAAGTTTACCAACACCTAGGCATCCCCACGGGGTACCATGTTGATACCACCCCAGAAGGAATGACGAAGGAGGTGGAGAGCATCGACCAATCTCTTCTGGCTCCCTGGCAAAAAATCGATGCCGTAAACACATTTGTGTCTCCAAAACTAGGCTTCTTGCTAAGAGGCACCACGATCCTGAAGAAAAAGACTAACAAACTAGACAGCACAACTAAAGCCTACGCCTAGAAATGGCTTTTCCTGCCTGCACGGGCCAGCCCAGAGCTCATATACTTATCGACAAACGACCTAGCGGTACTTATACAGGCGGTGAAAATGCTGACGACGGCAGACAATCGAGTAAACACCATAGCCTCTACCCAACTGGAGGCCACAATTAAGGGTCCTATGCAGTGAGACCGAAAGCCCCCTTTTAGTTTTACCCCGCAACCCAATATACATAGTTTTATGGTCTTTCGTGCCAGTGTTGATTGACAGTTAATAAACCAATAACTACCAGCGACGAAATCATCCACAATACTGGGGTTTTACAGATAAAACTACATTTGTTCGTGCAGTTCTACGAATGCTCTCCCTATTGAACCAGATCAATGGCTGGTCAAAACTTCGTCGTCAGCCAAACACATAACAAAGACATGTAAAACTGACAATCACCAGGTTGATATTGAAACTTTCCAGTCACAGAGAACAATGGTGCTAACAACAGGTGAATTTTGTCAGTTTGAAGTTTCAGACCTCGAACTCTACCCTCCCTACCCAAAAAACCAATCCACCATCACTATTACACAAGACTATGATGTGACATTGCCTATGAAGTCCTTTGAGAATAGCATAAAGAATCTCCATTCAGCCCATAGCTACATTAATAATTTTGAGCATCATGTATACAGCTCGTCCTTCAATACTTCGTTGAGGATATTCAAAAGGGATAGAATATCACTATCCAAACTCATAGAGCGATCCAATGATACACAAGTCAAGTACACGGACGTTATGGATCAATTGGCTTCAGAATTTGAGAAAGTCAAGGAAGCTAATCAAAATAATGCAGACCCTTGGGGCCCTTGGTACATCAAGATTTCTAAAAGCAT